CTTCTCTGATCACATCACCAAAATCTTCAACCCCTTTGTTTTCCTGCATGTTTAATTTAAATAATAAATAACTACTTCTATCATTTATGACAACTGAAAATAACAAAACTAACCTGTCTCTGGAGACTTTGAATGAATTTTTTGTCCATTGATAAGGCGGCAACACCTTTAGACATATGTCCAAATTCACTGCTTGCGTTTCCTAATATGTCTACACCAGAGAGTAGCTGAAGAGGCTGACTTAGGATATCTTTTGTGATATTTGAGATGGCATTTGTGATGAGAACACTTTGTCTTAGAGATAAGTTCTCCAGGAATCTTTGATTTACACGAATCTGTGAGCAATTACAGCATGCATACATTATTATTCTTGTTAATTGGATGATTATGATAGATTAGGGAAAAAGTTAAATACTTACTGGCATATTTTTAGTGTTCCCAAGAGCTGTCATCAAGGAAGCCCAAAACCCGAGTACACCCACATGGCGCTGAGTTGGTGACATGGCCATGGAGAATTTAAATCGAAACTCTGAGATATTTAGAACACTACAATTGAAAAATATGTTAATACAGAAAAATTCAAGAGAGGTGGGAATTGGGAAAGGGGTTGAAGTTGAACAGTGCATACCCGATGTCAATGATGGGATCCACTTCCAGCTACAAGTTCTCTATCATCAAAGAATGGTGTCTCAGATTCTGCCTCATGCTTTCCTTCGTGTATCTTTCATCGCCTCGTTGTGTGCCTTTTCCCTTTTTCCCGATCAAACAAAAAACAAGTTGGAAAAAGCCCTACAATTCTGATTGGTTGGGGAAATAAGCCACAATCGATTTCAATGGAGTTGGACATTATTCGACGATGGGAGAAGACGGTGGGAGCACGGTGGGCTAGGTTTATAAGAAGGAGATGACGAATAAAGAGAGAGAGAGAGACTAGGTCAAATATATTTATTTTATTTCCTTAATTACAGGATTTCAATTAAATGATTTCCTTAATTAAACGTACAAAAGGTCCAAAATACTCTTTAATGATTAATTTAATTATTTATTATTTCTTGAATTCTCATTGGTGCATTTAGGCACACAATAGTTGCTAGAAACATTTGAACCTAGCTCTCTCTCTCTCTCTCTCTATATATATATATATATATATATATATATATATATATATATATATATATATATATATATATATATATATATATATATATATAGGAGTAGGATCAAATGAGAACACCAAAAATGTTGAGAACGCGAGAACAAAGTATATTCATTTGCGATTCCATGTATTCATTTGTGGAGAAATAATAAATTTTTACGCCTTTAATTTCAATTGAAGAGAAAATGCATATTCATGTTGATTTTGCGTAAAAATTTATCATTTCTCCACAAATGAATACATGGAATCACAAATGAATATACTTGTTCTCGCGTTCTCAACCTTTTAGATGTTCTCATTTGATCATTCCATATATATATATATATATATATATATATATATATATATATATATATATATTATATATATATATATATATTGCAAATGTAAAGGTTTTTGTGACAATATCTTGATTTTTTATTAAGAAAACGTTTTTTGAACTTTTTTTTCTTGTAATAAGGAACTTCAAAGACTATTTTTCAGATCAAGATGAAGCTTCGTACTGCGAAAACGAAGTCTTAGATCGAGAGAGATTTAACAAAATGATCGTAAATACAAGAAAACAAAAAAAAAATACTTAAATATAAGAGACCAATTGAATACAAATAGTGTCATTTTTAATGGCATGAAATTGATGGCTATTTTGCATAAGTATATGAATTTTTTGGTTTTTTTTTGAGCAAATCACTACAAAAGTTGGCTATATTAGTCTTTTTAGCTAAATATGTGCATAGTTTCTTAATCTTATGGGACTATGCAATTGTGTGTTTTTTTGTTTTTGGAATGGCAAATCTAGTTACTCATAAATTATTTTTGATTTCATTTTACATTCTAAACATGACTTAGAGCATCTCCAATTCACTTTTATTTTCCATTATTTACTCAATTTCTTTCCTCATTCCTCTCCAACCCTATCCCATTTATTCCCCATTTTGAGGGAAATGAATAGTATAACACCAAATATGGTGTTATACTATTCATTTCTCCAAAATGGGGATGAACTTTGAGTTGTCGGTTTTAGTTCATTTTTTTTATATATTTATACATTTCTAGTTTATTTTTATCTACTAATAATAATTTAAATGTAATATTTAATACTTAGAATATTGTGTTATAAATTAAATTATATTAATTAATTATAAATATAAAGTTTGTTCTTTGTTTATCAAATTCATATAAAAATTTAAATACATATTGAAATTTTAAAACACGATAACGTATTTTACAAAATGTTATAATTAAGTATTATAAATATAACCTTATTTATTTAATATTATTGTAATGAAAAAAATATATAAATTATATATTTGTTAAAACCAAATTAGTAGAAGGGGTGTGTATGATAATTTATATAAGTTGGAAGATTGGAATACACTAGGACTATATTGTCTTGGGGTAAAAATAGAGTAAAAAAATAAAGTAGTATTGAAGATGAAACATTATTTATCCTATTTTTTATTTTTTTTGTTTTTGGAGAAAAAATAAAAATGGGTTGTAGCCCTTAATATGTTTGGATTAATTAAGTCCTCACACTCGAATAAGACTACATTTAATGTTGTTAAGCTAGCGGTTAAAAAATTAATAGGGCAGATAAGGCCACTGTATTAATTACATAGAACACACAGGCCATTAATATATTGGATAGCAAATGTTGTCCGGTCCCCTTAAGCCATCAAACTCACACTTATGAATTATGATTTCTAAGAGGGATCAATTGTTAGTTGTTACTTATTATTATTATTATTATTTGTTTTTTTTTCTAAGATAACAACTTTTACTATATATGCAAACCGATGAATTTTTATGGAAAAATATTTTAAACTCTACCTATCAACTATTTTCATTTTCTTCAAATTGATCATGGGAATTTTGTTTGGTTTGACGTGGGTATAGGGGTGTTCGTTTGGATGGATCAGTTTGATCCGATTCAAATAAGTAAATCCGAATAGATTTTGGTTTTCAAAACATAGATCCGAATAGTCCAAACTAAATTTAATCCGACCCGATCCAACCAAATTACAATTCGGTTGGATCGGTTTTTACAATTCGGTTTTCAAGAGGCAAGACATTTGAAAAATATATAACTTAAATATTAGCAAAATCTATAAAGAAACTATTTTTTTTATAAATTATAATTTATGAACAAATACTAAGAAAATATATTATATTTAATATTTCATTGACAAAAAACTTTTGATAAGAAGTAATTTTAAAGTATTATATTCGATGAAAATTTCTAATAACTAAAAATAATAATTTAGTAAATTTATAAATAGTTAAAGATACATATGAAAAGTAGATAATAAGTTGTTATTCAGTTTTATTGGACTATTCGGTCCTTACCAAAACCAATCCGAAATCCAAAATAATAATTCGGTTTTCCTGAAAACCAATCCAAAAATCCGAATATCCGAACCAAATAATCCGATCCAAATTGTCCAATTGGACAATTCGGTTTTATCCAAATAGTGAACAGCCCTACGTGGGTACGTAATTTTCTTTTGTTGCATTAACATTTGTTTGACCGATTACAATGGATTTACTAATTAAGTAGATTTTTTGTGTTTAGCGAATTCCTTTTTTGAACATCTGAATTTATTTAAAACAAAAAACTAGCAAGAGTTAGAAAATAATTACATAGTACAAGCCAAAGCCAGATTTTGCATCCACCCTACCTACAAAATAACTATCTTTGGACATCTAAATACAAACCACGAATAAGTAGTAGCCACTACATTATCAAAAAGAGAATCTGTCTGCATTTTCTTCGCATGAACGTAGCATAATTGCGAAATTTTCAAACGTACCATCACATCGTGTAAAAATAGCTTCTACTATATTTTTTCTGAACAAAAGAAAGTTGCAATTACAAACTTAGCCAATCGACCTAATAACTGGCAAAACAACTTCACACCACTTGTAAACTTTTAACCCAAAACAACTTAGCCAATCTCTAGTAAGGAGACAATCTAGTAATACACATCAAACAAAAATGTAAACTTTATTTGAAACAAACTTGGACCATCTAGCACCCTCCTCCAAATGTCCGAGGTGCATGGAGTCAATATGATTGCGAACTGCAAACTCCTAGTCTACCAATAAGTTCCGAAATCGAGGAATTAGAGGCATTTGAGAGGAACATGGGGGCAATATTAATGTATTATTGTATTGTAAATTTAGATAGTGTGTATTTGTATTTAGCCCAGCAGTTACCTAGCCCATGGGGGCCCATGTAATCTTGTATTTAATCATTGTTATTATAATTCTTCTTGATTGAGCAAAGATATCGTCCAATATGGTATCAGAGAAAAACCCATCTACCCTAATTTCCTCTTTTACGATGCTCCTGTTGACGTGCACCAACTGTGCCGTCGATAAACCTTCTGCTCTCCCCTGTTTTCTTTTCTTCTTTCTTCTTCACCTCTCTCTCCATCTACACTCTCTATAATCAGCCATGGCTGGTGATGAATCCTCAGGTTCCAAAACCTCCACCAATCAGAAGCCATATGGTGTTGTTAACATCAAAACTCATGTTCCTATTATTCTCGACTTCAATGAATTAAACTATGATGCCTGGCGCGCATTGTTTGAAACTCACTACAGGGGATATCGGGTGCTTGGATTTCTCGACGGAACTTCACTTCCACAGTCTGATAAGGATGAAGAATGGTATACCCTTGACTCCATTGTCAAGTCATGGATCTATGCCACTCTCACTCAGCCTCTCCTCACATCCATAGTCAAGAAAAACTCCACCGCTCATTCGAAATGGAAGAGCCTTGAAGACTTGTTTCGTGAAAATAAAGATACCCGGGCCAATGAACTTGAAAACGAACTACGATTCATGACACAAGGTGAACTTTCAATTGCCCAATATTGTCAAAAACTGAAGGCCATCAATGATCTCTTGTCCAATATCGAGAACCCTATCCCTGAAAAGTCGTTTATTGCACATCTGTTGAATGGCTTATCCCCACAGTTCGAAAACATATCCATGCTTCTTCGCCACAGGGACCCGTTTCCAACCTATAATCTGGTCCGCTCCAAGCTTCTGGTTGAAGAAAGCAGACTAAAATCGAACCGCCCAACACCACCTTCACACTTGGATCACTCCTCTGCACCTTCGGTCTTGTATGCCGCCAACAGTAGCCGTGCACCGTCTTCCTCTAACCGCAGTGGCCGTCGTCCTAATCAGAACCGCCGTGGAGGCGGCAACTCTGACTCGCGTCGCCCGAATACTTCTGGGTCTGGTCATATGCAGCATCCCCAACCGGTTCCTTGGAACCCATTCACCTTACCGTGGCAGACTTTTCCTTGGGGATATCCACCTTCTTGGCCTGACTACAGACCCAATTCAGCAGCCCAGCAACGCAGGCCCAACTCACCAGCCCAGTCAATTCAACATGGCATTCTTGGTGCCCCACCTTCCGCTACAGCAGCTGCGTATCACACCACCACCACTCCGACTCTTCGGCCTCCATGGCAGTGGTTCCCCTTCAATATCTCAAGATCAGCCTACCGACCTCGCTTAAGCCTTCAACTCCTTGAATGTTACTGACGGTGCAGATGCTAATTGGTATATGGACACCGGAGCCACATCACACCTTGCCTCCGATACAGGTATACTCACATCTTTTATCATTAAGAGACACATTAAATCTGTTCTTGTTGGCAATGGTTCATCTATTCCCGTTACTCATACCGATCACTCTAAACTTTTTTCTATTAATCGTCCTTTACATCTTCATAACATTCTTGTCACCCCTAATATTATCAAAAATCTTATATTCGTGCGTCGTTTTACAACTGACAATCAAGTGTCTATTGAATTTGACCCCTTTGGTTTTACTGTGAAGGATTTGGAAACTCTTCAGGTCCTGCTTAGGTGTGACAGCTCGGGTGATCTCTATCCCGCACCATCCTCATTCCACCCATCTGTTGCTCTTGTTTCCGGTAGCTCTAGCTTGTGGCATCAACGTCTCGGACATCCCGACGCTCGTGTTTTTAATCATTTAATTTCTCGTTGATTTATTTCTTGTAATAAAACTTCTAGTTCGGATAATTGCCAAGCATGTCAACTTGGAAAACATGTGAAACTTCCTTTTTATAGTTCTAATTTCCATTGTTTCTAGTTTCTTTGATATCGTTCATTCGGATTTGTGAGAATCCCCTATTACTAGCTATAGTGGTATTAAATACTACATTATTTTCCTTGACCATTTCTCTCACTTTCTTTGGGTCTACCCGTTACGAAAAAAGTCTGATGTTTTTTCCAAGTTTCTTCACTTTCGTGCTTTTGTCAATAATCAATTTCAAACCAAAATTAAACAATTCCAATGTGATCATGGTGGCGAATTTGACAACAAAAAGTTTCACAATCTTTTTGACCAACACGGTATCCAATTCCGTTTCTCGTGTCCCCGCACTTCCCAACAAAATGGAAAGTCAGAACGTATGATCCGGTTTATAAATAATGTTATTCGCACTCTTCTTTTTCAAGCCCATCTTCCGCCCACCTTTTGGGTTGAAGATCTTCATATGGTAGCCCATCTCATTAACATCACACCCTCATCATCAATAAACGACATACCTTTCTCCAAACTATATAACAAACCACCATCCTTCCTTCATCTTCGTGTCTTTGGATGCCTATGTTATCCTCACCTTCACACCCCTCACAAACTTGCCCCAAGATCTAGACCATGTATCTTTCTTGGTTATCCTAACCAACATCGAGGCTTTCGTTGTTTTGACCTTGAAACCGGAAAAATAATCATCTCACGTCACGTTGTTTTTCAAGAAAACGTCTTTCCATATAAAGCCATGACACCCAACAGAGCACCTTCTTATTCTTTTCTTGACGAACAATGTGACATAAATCCCACATCCAGGGTTTTTCGATTGTCTGAATTTCCCACCACAATCACCACTGAAACTGGCAATGAGTTTGGCAGCCATATTTCTGCCAACAACAACCACTCGCCTGACTCGACTGTCAATATCCCTCTCACGCCACCTTCTTCTTTTTCTCACAACCACTTAACACCACCCACTAACTCTCCACCATCTCCTCAACCAACTCACCCTATGGTCACCCGTGGTCGTGCAGGTATATTCAAACCTATCTCTCGTCTCAATCTACACACAACCATTGAGTCTCCTCTTCCTAAGTCTCACCTTCAAGCACTTCGGGACCCCAATTGGACCATTGCCATGAAGGACGAATATCGTGCTCTTATTTCTAACGGTACGTGGGTCCTTGTTCCGAGACCTACAGATGCTAACATTGTGCGCTCTATGTGGTTATTTAGAAAGAAATATAATGCAAATGGTACACTTGAGCGATACAAAGCTCGCTTGGTAGCGAATGGCAAAAGTCTGCGCTCTATCGTGCTCTTATTTTAGATAGTGTGTATTTGTATTTAGCCCATCAGTTACCTAGCCCATAGGGCCCATGTAATCTTGTATTTAATCATTGTTATTATAATTCTTCTTAATTGAACAAAGATATCGTCCAATAGGCAAGGGCAACCATTAACGCATCAAACTCTTTTTGTTCCATTTTGTTTACTTCTTTTGTATACTTATGGTCTTTAAACATTTTCTTTTTTACATTTTATGTGATTTTATGCTAACCAAATGTTATTATATTATTATCTATATCTTATTTTTTATATATAATATTCATATTACAATTTACTACTACCGAACAATATGTTGAGACTAACAGATTGAAATGTTTTTTATTTGTTATTTTATTTTTGTTTAAGTGATACAGTTTGTTTAGATAAAACTCATTTATATGACTTAGAATAAAAGTTAAAAATACGAAAACAAGTATTAGCAACGCAAAAGATTTGTTTTGGCTCACACATAAAAAATAAAAAGTTTCGTTATAGTATATGTCAATCCGTTAATCAACCTAAGCAAATAAATACAACAAATGCAAGTGATGTCCAGGCTAGCTGGGTTGATGCACCGGGTTTTATATCCATATAGGCGTGAGGTTGGGAGTTCGATTCTCTTAAACTATCTTTTGTGGTGCCATATGTGGGGAATTTTTACCTGTAAATCTTTACGGGGGCTGTGTTTGCCATTTAAAGGAGCTCGGACACGGGATGCTCGTTGAAATATTGCGAGTAGGCTTCCACTTAATTTGTTTTCCATTTCCAAAAATAAATAAATAAATACAATAAATTGGATTGAAATTAAAAGGGAAAACTTCAATAAAGTCTTAATATTTTGGTCAGATTATGGTTTAATCCCAAATTAATTTTTTTGTACAATAAAAGACAGATTACCAGCTAAAACTTTGGAATAATCCTTTTTGGCTGGTTTCGCAAATCTAGCCAGTATCTCATCTTTTTTCGTTAATTGACCCAAATGTTATGACTTTTCTGAAGGTAACATTATTTTTTACCAATAACCAAAATTAGTTCAAAGGAGAAAAGTCTCAATATTTTGGTTATTGGTAAAAATAACATAATAATATAGATTAGTTCAAGGATAATCTTCAGAAAAATTTTAATATTTTGGTTATTGGTAAAAAATAATATAATTTTTAGAAAAATCTAAATATTTTGACCAATTAACGAAAAAAGACGGAATACTGGCTAAATTTGCAAAATCGATAAAAAAAAAATTATTCAGAAGTTTTAGCTGGTAATCTGTCTTTTTTTATAAGCAAAAATTAATTTGGTTTTTAATAAATAATAAAAATCGATAATAACGTTATAATACTCATAAATTGTATAAAAGCACAATATATAATAATTTAGGGACCATAAGTGTACACAAAAAATCTAGTGACCAATTTTTTTTAAGGACCTGACAAATAACAAAAAAAAAAAAAAAAAAAAAAAAAACTAAAAGAAAAGAAAAATCATTATGACAAAAAAATAAAAAGAGTTCGTTGATGGATTTGATTTTTTTTTTCTAAATTTAGCTTAACCAAGTCGAGTTGACTCAACTAAGAAAGGTGGTTCAGTTACGAGTCGACTCAGCCATGGGAATTGGTCAATATCCTAACACTGTCCATGCCCTACAGTTAATGCATAACTGAGAAATAAATATAGGGGGCCAATTTTCATTGTACTATTAAAGTTGAACATCCTCCTGAATTAATGATTCATCATTGTTTTGGGTAGAGTTTGATGTGTTTATACTCATGTTCTATTTGATGTAAGTTTTTTTTAATTGATTTTACTCTTTCACTTTTGTTCTTTCATAGTATATCTGTTTAAAATTATTGATATCAAACCCATTAAACTTTAGGTTACTGCTTACGTCATGTGGTGTGTTTTTACTGATCTTTTCGATTAATCAAAAAGTTTGATACACTGCAACTAGTTTATTTTTTCAGATTTGTTAAGCTATTCTGTTTGAAAAAAAAGGGTTTTAAGGTATTTTTAAAAAGCCATCAATACTACATCAATTTAACGAAGATACCAAGTTTTTTTTAAATTATCCCGAATATGCCTTTAGTAATTGTAAATAAAAAAAACCATTACCCATGTTTAATGATACATGAAATGATGAAATAACTAGGATGATTTCAAAAGTGTTACGTAACAAACTGTAAACAATCGATATTTATATTACTAGTTGTGAGACTCATGTTAGACATATGTTAATTTAAAAAAAAGGTTAAATATAAAAGTCAAAATATTTAAGAACTTTAAATTTATAAGAAAATAAAAAAAATAATGAATTATTATTATTGATTTTTTTTTATCTTTTAAATTTTAATAAATAACTTTAATAAATAAGCAAAAGAAACTAATGAGGTTTAATTGACAATTTTAAATTAAAATGTAACTTCATTAAATGAAATTGATATTCATTTATTACTACATTTATTGTAATTATTACATTAAAATATTATATGAAATTTAATAAAATAGAAAAACTCATAAAACAACATGTGGAAAAAAAATTAATTCAAAATAACCACAAAATGACATTTGGCAAATTGAATAAGAGTGTGACATATGACAAAAAAAACATTCATTTATTAAAGTAGATTATTAGAATAGATTATATAACAAACTATCAACAATAATTATAATATGTAACAAAAAAATACCAATTTATCTATGTATAAACTAGTAAATGATAACCTGATTATATTAATTAGGGTTACCAACAAAAGTTTGTAAAAACAATGCAACTTTTTTTTTTGAAACGACGGCCACTACTTAGAAAGGGACTAATAAGGGAAAACACTTACATAATGTTAAAAGGACAACAACAACAGTCAATCCATCTATAATTCCGTAAACGTCATCTATGTTTAACTCACGATGAGATAGAGCACTTGTGGTGGGAATTTTATCAATGCAAGCTCTTCATATGAAACAATTAACCTTTAAAAGGACAAGGTACACCCAGATCATGACATTATATATCGACTCTGTCACAAAGGAATCAATAAGCGACCTCAAGTCATTCGCATAGCACTTTCCATCGGAATATAAGGTCGATTTCCAAGTGTCAGCTACATCACTTAGAGAGAAAGAAGAAACCGAATGTTGCAACACCGCAACATCGTCAAGTTCC